TCGGTCCTGGTAGTTTATCCTCAACATAACAGACTGTTCTTGTTAGAGTGATTTCAGAGAATATATTCAAGCTTCCAGCCTAGTCTTTTGCGAATATTTTTCATCCTCAACATCATCCGACGTGTGCCAATAGACGACACATAGAGCTCTCTTTCGATTTCTTCACTCGGCTTTATTGCGCTCAACTCTCTCGATTTCTGACATTGAGTTCAGCCCAGCGTTTTTAGCTTCTCGTAAAAATATTTTTTTTTTTATATTTCGCCTGGACTTCCTCTTTTTCTTAGACTGTTTGTTTCCCATTTTATTGATTGTTTTCTAAATATTTTCACATTTCGTCTCAGAGTGAGCCCAAAATAACTCCACCTTCTTTGTCTTATTGCAGTCGATACATGTATGTGTCCAGCCATTGTTCTAATCTCTTCACTCTTTTTAAATTCATGCAATTTCATGTTCATGATTTTTCTCAGACTTTTTTTTTTTTTTTTTTCAAATGAATTTAACTTTCTTTCAATTCCTTTGGTAGTTCTCCAACTATCGCTGACTGTGGTATACTATTCATAGAGGTAATTGAGCCAGTGCTCCGCAGTACGAGATCTATTACAAAACTTCAACGCCTTCGTCCGTGTGCAAGGCACAACATGGTCTCTCAGGCAGATGCACTCTGACTTAGAAAGAAACACCCCTAATTAGTCGCCTCTTACAACATGCTTTTTAGGGGTAGTGGTTCTGTTCTTTCCCTCCAAAATAAAGCCCCGGAACCCACACTTGGAACAGCTCGTATACTGATGATTTATAATAAAGGACCCCCTAGCGTCTGGAGTGATTATCTGTAGAAGAGGCAGACTGGAAGAATTGAAGCTTGTGCCTGACTGGGGATGATCGACATGACCAACTCACTGATTATCCCATATGGCTCGGTCTCTCTACAAAGAATGGCTAACCGCCTGGCCAGAACGTTCCACAAAGCACGAACTTCATAGCTCTACGATTATCCCCGTTGATCCCCGAAAACACTGCACTCGGGAACTGAACGACACGTCCATGAAATGAACCTAAGACCTTCGGAGCGAGAAGCAAAATGTTGATCACTTCGCCACTGAGACCCCCATACTGGAAGAAATGATGCTGGATGATCTAGGAGGTGTTCCAATATCATTTAGAGTTAATTGAGCCAGTGCTCCGCAGTACGAGATCTATCCCAAAGCTTCAACGTCTTCGTCCTTGTGCAAGGCACATCATGGTTATTTTCATAGAATTTGGAGAAAATATTATATATATATATATATATATATATATATATATATATATATATATATATATATATATATATATATATATATATATATATATATATATATATATATATATATATATATATATATATATAGACACACACACACACTTACATAAAACAGAAAAATATTCATAATTTATGGAACCTAAGGTGCCATTTCAATGGTTTGAGATGCATTCTGTTCGTATTCCAGAGCTGTGAATTTCAGGCTGTACGATAGACATGACCAATGAAGACACTTTTTAGGGGTCTTCTTGGTACATTTCTTTCCATAGCGAGACGAACACGCCAATTGGAGATGACAGGTTCGATTTCCGACACGTTAACTACAGCTTTCAACTTTTTTCTGTCAGTGTCATTTAATATAGTGTCTGATTGTTTTTAATCTATATATGTATATGTATGTGTGTATGTTTTTTACGGCCCCAGGGGTCTCCCCTCTATATATGGGGGAAGTGCGTCCACTTCCCAGCTCAGAATGAGAGCGAAAGGCGCATCTGACGTATGGAAAGTCTTATCAGTGGGTCTGGCACTAATATTTACCAGCAGGATTCTGGTGTATATGTTAAGTCGGGAATATCAGCACCATTAAATGTGACTGGGATAGCGTGGGGACAAAGGATAAGGAAGTTCATAACGATTTTTATTATTTTTTATATTTATTTGTATATATTTTTTAGACCGCACACCTGCCCGTTTTCCTCCTGGGTTGCAGTCCAAAAGATTAAAATCAGTTGACTCAAAAAGCCACTATTCGGATGGGAATCTTCTTTGCGTTCGGTTTCGTATGCTCGGGTCAGAGTGGGAGGTAGGCGGATGAGAATGAAACCAATGAAACTGATGCAAATAACAGAAACCCTTCTGTTATTTGGAATATAGTTGTAGCAGTAAGATTTTTCTCTGCGAAAGTAAAATACCTACATAAACTGGTAATTTAAAAGCGTAATTTAAATGCAATATAAATTTTTGTAAGAAACATTAATCATATGTTAACTAAAATATAAAGTAAAATAGTAAGTGTTATTTTACAAAAATGTTTTTTTTAAAAGCTAATATATTTAAAGATTGTATTTGCTGCTGAGCATGACAACCTTAGTGTACACTTGACAACCACATCCCAGTGCAGTCGACTAACAAGGTCTTCGGATTTCCTTGATGATCAACTCAACATTTTTTTTTTAACAACTGACTTTTAAACACTCAAAAATGTATAAACTTGATTTGCCTGTTGATTATAAAGAGGCTGCAGCCATAGAGCGCCGCCGTGCCATGGAAGAGGAGAGAAAATCCAGAATTTTCAACGCAAAAGTCCGGCAAATTGGGGTGAGCTAAATTAGTTAGTAAGTTACAATTATGACGAAAAATAAAACAGTGTTACTATTTAGACTTTAAGAAAGTTGCATTCTGACTAATTTCATTGAATAATAATTGAATAATTTCAGATTTAAATGATAGTCTGTGACATTTCGTTCTTATATAATATTTAATTTACAGTGGAGAATATGAAGATTTCTTCAAGTGAAATCATTTTAATAAAATGTATGCAGTTGCAAACTTCGGCTATCCTCCCAATAAAGGCCGTTAATTATTGAGGCGAAAAATATACTCTAACAGGGCCTCAGGCACGTGTCAATTGCGCACTTCTGGGGACTTTAACACCCCGCAAATTGCAAACATCCGCCACCGCCGAGAGTGTCCCGCACGCCGCTCATGCAGCGTCGATTGGGCTCATGCGGCGTCGATTGGGGCTAAACTAGATGGCTAGGACTCACGAGCAAATAAAATGAAGGAAGCTGCAGGAGATGCAGTAGCTGCTGCTCGTTAGTCCTAGCCATGTGGTGTGGGAGACACTCTTGGACGTGGCGGAAGTCGCCCGAAGCTCGCATTTTAAGACGACAGAACTGCGCAATTGACACGTGACTGAGGCCTTGTTAGGGTATATTTTCCGCCTTGATAATTTATGACCGTTATTCAGAGGATAGCCCAAATTTCTTATTAGGATTTAGAGAATCAAAAGAAGTTACTACTTTAATTAGTAGAGTACCTAGAAGGTAGGGCTTTTTTTTTTTAATTGGCCTGCACTCCTGAGCTCTATCTGCCTAAATTGGACACCTGCATTGTTTTAGGCATTTATTTACCACAGTAATAATATCTTATGTGAACCAAAAATATATTATTAATCATATTTATTTTAAATTATAAATGTCACAATATATTAATTTTATAATAAAGTATTATTTCATATTTATTATTAACCGTAGTCGTGCAAAGTTAATTAATTATCAAATACATTTACAATGTCATTACAAAGTTATTACTATAATACTGATCAAGTATTGATTTGTGTGTGTGGGAGGAGGGGGGATTGTTGCTAAAACTATAAGCTCAATACTCCTATTATTAAATGCAAACAAAGGTCCATTACTTGTATGTTTGCTCTGCAAGGTGACATTTGTGGCTTAGGCAGTGGAACATGCTTCATGATGCCGGAGTGCCGGGTTTGATCCTAGCTGGGGATTATCTGTTTTGTGTTGGTTTCGACAGCATTACTGAGAGCTGACCATTCAGAAAGCTATGACAATTTACTGAAAGTATAATTTGCCTTGGAAAAAAAAAACAAGACAGGCAAAAAATGCTGGAGTTGGTTTTCCAAGTCTTGTAAAGGATACGCAGTGTAACTTTTACTCTGTAAAGTTTTATCATGTATACTACATGTATCACTGTTTGCATTGTTTGTTAGTATACCCCTAAACCACACCTGCACACAAACACGAACAACACATTAAGTACAACTCACGATTCTCACTCCATCTTGTTCGGCTGTGTGATTTCATACTTGTTCACACTAGCTGTCCTATGTTCGTGGGGTGTCATGTGTTTTTTGTTTTGAGCATTTAAAGCATATCCATCAAAATACAAAAACATCAGTGAATCAATACTCATGATTCAATTGTTGGTGCTTTCCCCCCTGCAGTACTTCTTCCTTGTGCACAGTCGCCTTCAGTGACTCAGACCTAATCACAGAAACACATTCCAGAAGCGCCACTCATTTTAACTAAAGAGAGAAACAAAAAGAAAACTTGCAGTTCATCTAGGAGACATTGTGTTGACCTCGTGAAATGAACACCAGTCACTCTTTGTCAAGTTGTGTATAGACAGCAAAGTAAGACATCTCGTAACACCCCTAAAACATAGGACTTCCCATGGGAACCAATACAAAATCATGCAGCTATATGAGATGGGGTGAGAATTGTGAGTTGTATTCACATTTATATATATTTATTCCAATAAGACAATGAACTGCTATATATACAGACACACACGCACATATAATGTGAGTTTCAGTGGAAAAGAGCAATTTTATGAAATTGTGGCACGAAGTAGGACACATGATGGGGAAAACTATTTATTGGGTCACAACATCTTTGTCATTCTAGAGTGAGTAGTACAGAGTACTGAATGAAGTGTAGCAGACCCATAGGTTAAAGTTAAGTAAAGAACCTCTTTCCATGCCTTCAGGCATATTAGACATTATGGCTTGACCTATATTTTATAGACTAATTGGCAATCTGTGGGTGATGTGGTCAACATCACGCTGATCACCTTTACTTCCCAGGATTTTACCTGTACCCATTTAAGGCTGAGTAGACCTGGGAGCCATGCTAATTTTGAAGGGAAAAAAAAGCAGAACCATAGAAGAGACTCATAATAAAATGCACAGGTGAGAATAGAATGTAGATGTAAAGAATTTTGAGGCATAAATGGAAATAACCTTAATAGAAGCAGAAGACGGATTCAAATGATTAACGATTGTACTTTACAAGAAATAAAAAGACACCAATGAAGATTCAAATTATAGTTGTAATTAAATAATGTAAAGGTCCCTTTTTATGCCAGTGGGTCATTGAGCACATTATGATATGCTCATATTTGTATAGCACTCATTGGGTGACCTGGCCAGCACGCCAGACATTTTTTACTGACCAGAACATTACCTGGTGCCAATTTTAGGCTGGGTTGACCTGAGAGCCAAGGTCAGATCTGAAATAAGAATCTGCCCCAAGACCATTGGGTTGGCATGGATTATAGATGTATTAAAATTAGTTGCATTTCCTTTACAGGATGTTGCAGAACCAACCCAAACATTTTTTGGCTGTTGTGATTTTTCTAGGCACATTTTACATTCAATAGTTTGCCATTGCTTTCCGTACAGTCAGGTCTCTGTACCACTTTCCAAACCAACGTAAGACAAACTGTTCGCAGCTGGGATTAAAATCAGCACCCCAACATTGTGAAGCCTGTTTGCAACGCCTAAGCCACAGACGCCAACTAAAGATGTATACATTTTTAATTTGACTGTTGTTCTGATTTACTGTGTATTTTAATAAAGTATTGTAATTTTGTATTAAAGGTTGACAAGCAAGCCCTTGATCAGCAAATCTTTGATAGGAAGCAGATGGAAGATTATGAGAGACGAATACATGAAGCTTTTGGTAATAGATTTTATTTAGGTCATTTGATATATGTAATGTTTAAATTATTACAATGTAAAAAAAAAAAAAAAGGTACCAGGACAATTGGGGAGTCGCAGTGGCCGAGCGGCTAGACACTGGTCGCGGATTGGAAGGTCGTGGGTTCGCTCCCTGGTGGACTTTTTTCAAAAATTACCTTGGCTCCCAGGTCGACCCAGCCTTGAGTTGGTACCGGGTGCAGTCCCGGGAAGTAAGGGCGGCCGGCGTGATGGTGACCACATCACCCATCTTGTGCCGATTAGTCTATAAAAATATAGGTCTAGCCCTATATGCCCTATACGCCTAAAGGCGTGGAAAAGGGTTCTTTACTTACTTACTTACCAGGACAATAAATACCACTTTTGACCCATAGAATGATTCCAATGTCTAGCAAGATAAATCTCATAAGAAATATTTTTGGCCACCTCTGTCAAACATTGACCCTTGTTGCAGCTAATGGAAAATGTATCAAATCGGACAACTAAAAAGCCTTGGACGACTTAGTCAGAGAGATCGGAAAAGCCACAACGAAACAAAGAAGACAGTCACGTCGACATCAGGGCTGCCAATGCTTGGTTGTTTCCCCCAGATCTTTTTCGACGCTGCAGGACAAATCTGGTTTTTTTTGGGTGTGTTTTGTTTGTTGGTTTTTGCCGATTTTGTATGCTTTAATGATCGATAAATTAGCGTGGTTAGGGGTAGGGGTTAGGGCTAGGGAGTAGGATTAGGATAGGGTTAGCGGTAGGGTTAAGAGCGTTATATTTGACAATTTTGACGCCCATTTCCCTATAATGCACAGAAACAATCAAGGGCCTCTGGATGCTAATCAAACGCACAATTCGCCAACGATTGGGGGCACCATTTTTTTTTTTTTTTTCGGCAGAAGTGGCGCCACTCCCACAAACATCAGATTGTTTGCCAGTATTTCGAAATCTAACGTCAAAATTTTCACATCTAACCCACCCCTAACCCTACCCATAAAGAAATCTACCCCTAAAACTGATCTACCCTAACCCTACCCCTAACTCTAATCCAACAACCGCATGATGATGACTTTTTTTTTATGATGATGCCACGATGCCTCACTCAACCGTACGCAGCCCTACACGCAACCGCAGGAATAGCTAAGTGTGTCGTTTGTTTCGTTTGTTTTCCGATCACTGTTGTGTCCAAGGCTTTTTATTCTTCGTCCGGATTTGACAGGAGAGCCGAAAATCATAACAACAGAGATGAGATGTCATAGAAAAGCTCTTTGAGTAGCAAGAAGAGATGTCATTTAACATAAAGAAATCACTAAAACTGAAACTAGTAATTTTTTTTTTTCTTCTGTAAAATTATGTGCCCTTGAAGTTCATTGCTGCTGATGTCAACCATCCCAAATTGATCTGACTGACCTTCTTTTTTTTACCAGTTGGTGAAACTAAGTGTTTGTAGGTTTGCTTGAATATCCTCTCTCCTTCATCTTCTTGGTCTACCTCATGGTCAGCACCAATATAACTCATCTGTGTAAAGTTTTTCTATCTGCCACCTGTCAGTCTGTTAGCCCTCATAATGTCACTAATTAGATGTGGTTTTTAACAGACTAAGAATACTGTTGTTGCTTCTTACTCTCTATTACTCACTGTTTTTATCTTTTTGTATCCAAAGATGTGCCATAAGATTCTATTCTCAAAAGTCTGTAAAATGGCGTTGTCTTTTATTTTTAGTTATTGTACTCCAGGGCTCCAGAGAGAGAGACTGGACAGTTGGTCTTTTCAGTGTTTTATTCATTGTAATTTAATAATGCAGACCTTTTATGGCATAGTATATCTTATTCCAGTTTGTACTACTTCTCTTAGTATTTTGGAGCAGCAGTATTTTGTATACAAGTATTTATATTTTCCATTCTTCTGATTTTCAAATTATTTGTTTGTTTGTTGCCAGAGTTTTTATCCCTTCTCTCTCTTGTCAGCATGTATTTTGTTTTATCTTGATGGAAACTAGTCCTATTTTTTATGTAATTTTTTTAAAAACTGAGTTAGTATTAGCATAGCAACTACATATACCAAATCAATAAACAGTATTATAATTGTGTTTTTTTATTCACACATGTTCATTTTTTTTCCCAGTGGTACGGAAAGGGGGGTGTGGGGCATGGGAGGTGGAGGAAGGACATTAATTTATCATTTAGTTTTACATGAGTGACTAACTTGTAAAAATATTTCCATACATTTATTCACACAGCTGCTGATGCTCTCAGGAATGATAGAATAGCTTCAATGCTAGAAAAACGCCAGGAGCACGATATTCGTGCATTGAACCAGGCCATAGATGAGTTCCGTGCACTTCATCAGCAACCTTCTTTGAGGAGAGAATGGGATCTGTATGACCCAGATGCTCTTAAAAAGGATAAGCCAGCTAGAGTTCATGATGATGATCCACGTTGTGGCGTCTCCAGTATACAAAAGTTTGAGGGAGAAGATCTTAACAGCAAGGTAACCTCAAATGTCTGTTGTACAAAACCATCCATTTCCATGTTTAAATATTTATTTTTAAAATTATTTATTAATCAAGTTAAGAACCAGCATTTTTACACTGATAGCATTCCTATAAGTTTGTCAGATCCATCTTCAGAAGCCAGTACAACGTTCCAGTAGTAATGATGACAGATGATACTTTTGAGTGCTTGCCAGATTTCCCTGGTCACTCCCTGTTTGGGACTGAAAGAGTTTATATAGTCCAATGGTAAAGTGTAATTGATCACCAAAAATATATGTGGTGACTGGATAGTCGGGAAACTTTGGTGGCTAAAAACATGACTGTATGCTCAAAAGTCTTTATCTGAATCTGCGTCAGGAATATTTCTGTATAACTGATTTTGCTTTCAGGTCAGTTTAGACTAAAATAGATACCAGGAAATTTCCTGAAAAAAAAAGGTAGCCAGCAAGATGTTGACATCACCCACTGAATGCTGTCTGGTCTATAAAAATGTGAGTCTCGCATGATATGCCCAATGTGCCTGTGGTAGGAAAAGAGACAATTACTTTACTTGCTTAATGTGATAATCTTCTTTTTTAGCATTCCAAGCTCTTGAGGTTCACTGCTGCAGATATCACTCACCTCAATGCTCTCTGATTGACTTTTTCTTTCCATTTACTAACTCAAAGTGTTTGTAGGTCTGCTTGATTATTAATCTCTCTGCCATCTTTTTTGTCTGCCTCATGGCCTACTTCCATTCATCTAATATTATTTAGATTATAATAAAATTATATTATTTAGATTATAAAATTTTTTTTATACTTGTCACAGTAACAATAACTTGAATTTGACCTACAGGCCCGGAAGAAGTTTCAGAATGAACAAGCTCGTTTCTGGCATGAAGCACAAATGCAAGAGAAGAACCAAGCAAAGCAAAACCAAGATGAGGCTGACCGTTTGTATGACTTAAAACAGAAGGAGCTGGACCAAAGGGCTATAGAACTTCAACAGGCAGAGGAGCAGTGCAAAAAAGCTATCAACATGGCAAATGCAGCCTACAATGATGCTTTGGTAACTATGACCCATTTGTGCTTGTTGTTTTTTCCCTTAGCTATATTCTAAAAAGTGAGAGGAATGATATTCTTATCATGGGAAAGAAATAATATTCTTGTCATGGGAAAGGAATAATATTCTTATCATAAGAAAGGAAAATATGCTTATCATAAGAAAGTCGTAATATCCTTGAAAAAAAAAGGAAATATCATTGTCTTCCTAGAGAAGTATTATCTTCCTCCTGCAGAGAAAAATAATGTTTTTATTATACTAGAGGAATAATATTCTTTTCATTGGAGAGAAATAATTTTCTTACCATGGTAGAGGAATAATATCTTTATCATGCTTAAGGGTTAATATCCTTATCATTATTAAGAATAATTACTTGCTAAAAGGATAATATCCTTAGTTCGCAGATCATCCTCACTGCATGTTGACCCTCTCAGTCCATGTGTGCTCATAATAATACCCTAATGGGAAAAGGAATATTCTTATTATTCTAGAGAAATAATATCCTTACCATTAGAAATAAATAGTATCCTTATTATTACAGAGGAATAATATCCTTACAATGAGAGGGGAGTAATATCCTTACTATTAGCGATGACAAATATCTTTATCATGTGAAAAGAATAATATCCTTATAAAAAATTCATTTTTAAAGAAGTAAAGGACCCTTTTCCATGCCTTCTGGTATATTGGGTATATAGGGCTAGACCTACATTTTATAGACCAAATTACACGAGCATCTAGCCGCTCCGCCACGGGGACCCCCAAACTGTTAGGATTTTATCAGTTAAAGTAACACCTATGAAGGACAGAAAGTTCTTCTTCTGCAGCAATCTCTGATCATGCACTAAATATACTTTCATCCATTAACTTGGATGTTCATCTCAAGGTTTCTTAGGTTTCCCTAGTTGTCAGGTCTGCTGGGTGTGGTCCTATGTTGCTATGCAGCTTCTCTAGGAGAGGACAGACTTGTAAAAGTTGGATGGCACCTAAAAGTCAGCAGTGCATCTGCTTAAGAGATGATGAACCAACATTCTGCATATAAATAAATCAGACTTTTAAAACGCATGTGCAAACAAAACCCAGGTTTTGGAAAAAGAGCAAAGTTCCGAAGTGGATGAACAACAAAAACGTTTCCATCGGAGTTTACAACTAGTGGACACAAAGAATAGACCAATCAGCACTTGGTGGGTGATGTGCTCAACATCACTCCAGCAGCTTTTACTTTCCAGGACTTTGCCTGGTGCCTATTTAAGGTTGGGTCTACCTAGGAGCCAAGGTCATTTTTTTTTTCAATGTCGGGATCTGTTCAGATTAAACCCATGACCTTCAAATTTACAGGCAAGAGTCTAGCCACTACGCCATGAAAGCTCCCATAAAAATCTAGGTTTAGCACCAAATACCAGATGTGCCACTGTTGTGAACTGGGTATTTTACTTTAATTAAATAAAATGTGACCTTTTTTCCTTGTGTTCACAGAACAATGAACAGAAAGAACGGGAAAGACTAAAGCGACAGCAGGAAGAAGATGACAAGATGACAGAGATAGCCAACCATGTGTTTGGTGACCTCTTCACAGAGAACCCAGCTGTCGCTCAAAGTGCCTTTGGTGCTCATCGTGTGATCGCGAGCCGATGGAAGGGCATGTCTCCACAACAACTAGAGGAGATCAGAAAGCAGCAAGAGAAACAAAGAGCAGAAAATGAGGTGAATTGTGTGTCTGCTATTCTTTAGTTCTGTTTGTTTATTCACTCAAAGTGCCTGAAAAAAAAAGGTTGACCATCTGTAATTCTAATCAGTACATGGTTTAAATGGGAGCCACCGTGGTGTAGTGGTGGCTTCGACTTCGGGTCGGAAGGTCGTCGGTTTGCTTTTTGATGAGAGCCTGATTTTTGGTTTTAAATTACCTTGGCTCCCAGGTTGACCTGGCATTGAGTAGATACCAGGTACAGACCTGGGAATAAAGGCGGCCATCGTGATGCTGACCACATCAGCCATCAATTGCCGTTTGGTCTGTAAATTAAAAAATAGGTTTAGCCCTATATAACTGATACGCCTGAAAGGCATGGAAAATGGTCCTTTTACATGATTTGAATGTAAAAGTACAGAAGAAGGATCCTTTTTACATAGTGGCATATTGGGTGTACAATTCATTGTCATACTGTGCCATTGTATGTCATTTAGGGTTCACAGTCTATTTCTCCATTCCATTCTTTCCTGTACGATCACTTCAGTATCATAGATGTAATCCAGTGCAGTACCTTCGGCTTCTCTCATCAACATCAATTGGGTTTCTCTTGGACCTCCTCATTTCATAAATCATTTCATCTGCTAGACATATTTTTATAACATATTTTTATAGATCAGTCAGCACATGATGTGTCATGTGGTCAACAGCACACTATAGGCTGGGTCGACATGGGATCAATATCAAAATAGGTGGATTCAAACCCAAGACATCAAGCATCTAGCCACTACACTACCAAGACTCCCTGGTCTGAATGACTGCCTCGTTAATTAATGTTCCCATCCATGGTATGTTTTGATTCAACCTCATAAATCACATTTCTTCTGGCATGAGATGCTTCTTCACCTGACCTTTCATGAGTAACATGATAAAACATGGCTGATGACTTTTCAACACCCTTTCTGTCTTTACTGCCTGTATGCATACCACTGTTTAATGTGATGTTTGACAAGGGGGGGAAATGGGGAGGGAGTATGCTGAGCCTTGAGGATTTATGTCCATGTGGCTAGTTCAGTCACTACACACTGCACAGACTAGCATTTATTTGTAAATCTTTGCCTCTCACTGCTACAGACAACTTTTTATTAAAGCAATGTTTCCCCATTGTAAATTTTAATAAAGAAGACCCAAACGACAGATTCCACAATTTATTGCCTGGCATATTTCACTGTATCTCGTCAGGTGCATACTATAGTAACAATTACATAAATGAAGCAAATTATTGAACAGATACCCGGTTGGATTTATTAAGCGCCACTGCCAACCTCCTGAACCAACTACTACAGAAACATCAGTCCCCAAACAACAAGTCTAGATACATCTAACCTATCAAGTGGATGACGTAATGAAACGGCGATACGACTGGAGTTAATGGAATAATGTATGAGATCTGCTTCTATAAAATTTACTGAATTTCCCCCTAAATTTTGCATTGAAAAAAATACTCTCACAGTATTATATCAGTTTTTAAAAAATGGTATGTCTAAAATATTGACTTCATGAAAAACATTGCAGTAAATAGAAATGAAAAACATTGTAGTAACTAGAAAATAATGATGATAAAGATTTTAAATCAGGATTATTTATTTGAAGATACTATGTGAAAAATACTATATAAAAGCAAAATACAAAATATTGAAATAATGACAAGCAAGTGTTCAAGTCCATTAATATAAAAATAAAAGAACAAATTTAGTCATCTGCAGGGAGAATGGAGTATCTGGTAACCCTGTTTGGTATTCAACAAGTTAAAAAACTATATAGGAATATATATCAACAGAATTGTTAAATTTACATTGCAATTCATTGTTACAGAGACTTCGTCAGGAGGAAGAACTTCGCAACCGAGAATACGAACGTCAGGCTTCAGCCAATGCCAGAGCAGCTGAACTGGTTGAACGGGAAATGGCACGCAGGCGTCGTGAAATTGAGAAAGCTCAAGCAGATGAAAATCGCCGCTTAGCCCAAGAGCAGAAAGCACGTATTGACTTTCTCAATCGAGAAGTCTATACAAACCCTCCCACAGCTGCATACTTTATGCAGTTTAATAAAACAACACGATAATAGCTTCAGCCTGGTCATAGAATTACATTGTGGGTATTATGGGTAGATATTTTTTTTTTTTTCAATTTTTAACTCAGTTTCTAAAAGTTTTTACAGCTGAATCCAGTGAAGGTATGAATGAACTTCATTTTCAGAGGGTCATAAACTGGGCAAGCAGGCCAGTCTTACATTCAGCTGTCACACAAAAATGGTATTTTATGAATAACGTTAAATTCATTTGGTGATAGTGGGTCGGCATCTGTGGCTTAGGTGTTACGACCGTGCTTTGTAATACTTGGGTGTCGAGCTCAATCCCAACTGCAGGCCATTTGGCAGAAACCGTCTTGTGTTGATTTTAACAGTGATACTGAGAGCGGACTGTTCAAAAATTCTGGGGTTGGTACTGCAATGTCCTTAAGGGACATGCAACTAACTTTTTAGTGTTAATGGAGTTAGAAATAAATGCACAGTGAGTTGCTTGGTAGTGAATACATGAAAGAGTTAATAATTTTAACTCACAAACCATTAAAAATTTCTTAATATACTAGGAAATAAATATTTCCCTTCAGCTTTCAATCAGTCATTTGGGTGCTATCTCCACATTTATAGTTAGTTGCAGTGGATCTTTAATGGGCTCTGTCTTTCACCTTTGGTATATACTCTATTCTCTCCCACTGTATGGTTTTTTATAAAAGTGTTGTTTAGTTTAATAAGGACAACAATATTTCACTTTCTTTTTTATTTCCTGTCATCAACTCTGTTTTCACTTCCAGTCTTTTGAGATTGTTATCATCTGCATGAAACAGAACCTATTCTTCTGTCTAGCCACATCTACAGTCAGTATCTTATTACTGAAATAGTTTTTTAAACTTTATTGCAATAAATTTTTAAACCAACTCGCTGGGAACCAGAAGCATAGTTCATGCCACGTCAGTGAATGTTTACACATGTTTAGTTAAGCAAATGTATTCCTAGCATAATTTGGTCTTCATGTTGTCTTGATAATAACAGATTGTTCAAAAAATTTGTGTTTATTTTGAAGATACTAAATTTATCAGCATTATGGTTTATGGGTGTGCTATGTTTGTTAAGAAGAAGGCCATTAAAAACAGATAATGTTTTATATTAATATTGCTTTTGCTACTAAAACAAAGGTGAAACAAATAGTTTATTCTATATGACATTATGTGCTTTTTTTTCTAGATAAAAATGTAATAAAAATGTTATCTGAAGCATTCATTTTATATTGATTTCTTATTTGCTGTGATGCATCAGCTCTTTCTTTAAAGAAAACCTTTCAGATTTTAGCTTATTGACTTGAACTTTTATAAAGTCTGTGGGAAAGTCCTATGTAGAAGCTTTAAGTGTATTGGTAATATGGTGCTAAACGCAAATATTTATGGGCCAGTAGTACTCAATGGGTGATGTGGTCAAGGCAAGACTGGTTGCCTTAACTTCTCACAACAATTTTAATACCCATTCTAGACAACAGACAAGGAGAAAGGAGAGGCGTTGCTCCATTGATTTATAGCTCAGAAAGATCATAATGATGCCGATATCAGGGATGCAGTTAGAAAGGAGTTATCTGGCACCATAAAGAAAAAGCAGTATGAATGCATCATAGAGTGGACAATATCAAACAAATTTTGAAAAAAAGGCAAAAGACACTGCATCAAGGGTGATGGGGTCAGGTATGGCCAATTGAAGGCATTGGGTGATGTAAACCTGGCAGAGATGACTGACTGCTTTAACCAGAGCATTAAGACAGCAGCAGAACCACAGGACTGGGTACACAGCTATCTAATCCCACTGCCAAAACCATTTATGGATCATTCAAAACTCAGTGGCTTTAGAATCATTACCTTACAATATACATTTGGGAAGGTCTTGGAGAAGACAGTCACTGTCGAGTTGCAAGAATTTTTGGAAAAAATGGGAAAATTTTCCCAAGAGGTCTGAGAAGCTACAGGCCAATAAAAGATACGTAGTCCAATATAGCCACTTTTGCCTTTGACATCTGTAAGAATAAGAATTTCACACGGGAGCATGCACAGCAGGGGTCCACCAGTCATTAGTAAAGATCCTTCGTCGACAGTTGTTTCGGCCCATTACTTCCCTAAACAATCGCGGAAGGTGGGCCGACCTGGGTCATGAAGCCAGGCCCTGATCTTACTCTGCTGCACTTCATCGGATTCGATAGGGACAAGACAATATGGTGACTTTGCAACAGGTGTTGTGAGACTTGGTGTTATACTGTCGATATTAGATCTGTTGACTACCTTCATAACTAGAGTGACAAGTTTATGGTTGGTTCATCAGACAATTGTTAGACTTTGGCATTTGGCAGAGAGACACCAGCAGACATATATATCTGTCTCTTTGGCTTTTCAGGGATAAGAATTATTTTCTACTAGGCACTCGGACCAGTCTACTGAGGCCCATCCCCCACAACATTCAGTTGCATCTAGAGCCAGCTCAAAGCTCTTTCAGCAGCTTCACCCGTTTGTTTTAGTAACCGTTTATGCTAATTTCCTAGCAAGCCCAGCTGCTTTAGCGCATTGCTCATGAAAGTGGAGATAAGACATCTTGCACCTACTTAAACGGCAAAGATTTTTACTGCATACACTTCATCTCTCCTCAGACCAGCCTCGAGCCCGAGGAACGTATTTAATCTTCTGTCTATAGAAGACTATAAAACAATCGCCTTTTTTGGGTGGACGACAGCACTCATTTGTGTACACCAGTCAGTCACTTTGTCTACTGCTGCCTATAACTCCTTGACTTTAGTCTTGTTCCAGAACTTGCATTTTGCATCCTTTTTTACTAATCTGCATTTTTTTAATGCAGACTTTTAGTTTCTCCCTCTCACTCAGATGCGTTCTGACTTAGAATGAAACTATTCTCGAGCTTGTACATGTGATTTTCTTCTACCCGCAACTCGTAGGGCACGGTCAGCTCAATCAGGAAAAGCTGAGTGCAGGACTATGTCATATCTCAGGCCGGTCTTCCAGATTGACTCTGGGTACCTTTTAAAACCAGGTCGACAGCCAGTAACCAGTTCCTCGCGCAGTCAAGTATAGATGGAATGAATGCCACCATGTTGATTTTACCTTTATTTCCCATGTGGGTTCTAGAGCCCTATTATAGGGAAAACAAGAACAGACCCACTGCTTACCCAAAAGCATGTCGTAAGAGTCGACTAACTGAGAGCTTCCTTTGAAGTCGGAGTGCATCTGTCTGACAGGTAAGGAACCAACAGTCTGCATTCAAAAAAGTCAGATCTGTAAAACAGATGTGTACTTAACACCCAGGATCTGGAACAAGATTTAAGTCCAGAGATGGTCGTACATTGAAAATTGTATGCCGGAGTTTACAGCTTGCGAACATGAAGAAGAAGGATAAGAAGAAGAAAGTGTTATTTGTTTAACCTTTTGAGAAGAAATGGACTAGAGGACGTGGTAATGGTTGGTAAGACGTGTGGAAAGGAGCAAGAGGATGATGGGGCAAACTAAAATGATCTGGATGGTTTGGCCATATAAGTGAAGTGACACAAGATCACTGACCTGATCAGTGATTCTAGTGACCATGTTAGATGGTGAAACATGACCACCTAGGTGATGATGACAATGAGGACCACCAGATGTGGGTATAATATCTGCCGATGGAAAGAAGAAACCAACCTTTCCTAAATAGACTCTATATACCTAATTTTTACAGGATTTTGGCTTTACGTTAGCCCTTCTTGTCTTCGTTTGAGAAAAGGCGCGCAACCCCCCACCCCCTTTTCCTCCCTTTCCCCCAGTTGTATTTCCATATCATTACCCAGCTGCCAGTTTTGTCATCCATCCAGATGTCTGTGATCACAACAATGGAGGCCCATTCTATTCATTCGCATCGCTAATTAAAGTGCAACAGCTGTGGCTCAACTATTCGTCTTCTTCAATAGGCGTCTGATAATGGCCAAGAACTAACTTTCACACAACAATAGGAGCCATGTCCTAGCCCCAGCGAGATTAAACACAAGCGGCTTCAAATCTCAACCCAACAGGGCATCGACAGAAAGAAAACATTACTCAGCCCCCTTGCAAATTTTAGAAGGGCTGGGGATGGAGCCTCGAGGGGCCATAGCTTTCATTCAGTGCCTAATAATAATACAAATAATAATAATAATAATGTGCTCAGTGGCAAATACATTATGTTGTGAATACTATGATATGTGTAAACAAGAACCTAAAAAGAGAACTTCTGTATATAGTGGATAGCGCAGCTTAGACTCCTTAAAATTTAGAAAGGGAATCAAGGTGCGAAAGCCCTAATAATTTTTGCGGGCGGGAGACGGCCACAGGGGGCTTGAGATTTGTTTATGTGCTCAGTCTCCCCCGAAAAACACTTTTGGGGGAAGGAAGGGTTAGAAAAGGTGGGGGGAGGGGGTCTTCAGGACACCCCGAGATCTCAGGTCCCGGCACCCCTGACTGACATGGTACACTTTTCTGAACGTTTTGTAACCAAAGCAGATGTTGTACTAGTCCATTCTGTCTTAATTCGTAATTTTTTTCTTCTGGCCCATACTTTAGTCATTGTAACTCAACGGGTCCAATAATTCCCCAGTCAAAGTAACAACTCCTTAGAACAGCACAATACATAGTAACGCCATTTCCGAACAACAAGATTCATTTTCAGTTGCATCCTCTCATACGTTAAGTTCCATTAGTGGGCAGTATATTTCCACGAATAGACCTTTGATTACCCCCCCCCCCCTCCCCTTTTCCGCCCTTCTGTTAACATCTTCAACAACAGCAAAAAGCAGACGATTAAATTATCACATGAACAAGCCACAGGTAGTCATAATTTTGAGGACATGTGAGGAGAATTATATTGGAAAATGTAGCAATAGCTGACCAGGTCGTGTGGGAAAAAAAGTGAAAGCAGAAGACAGTTGCGCATCTTTGAATTGTTTTGCCATAAGCGGTACAGGATTAAACGCTTGATCTGGGAGACTCATGTGGCCGCACAAGATAGTT